TGCGTTGCTGGATGCACTCCCTGACAGAATGCTTTTAAGGTAGCAGGAATGGCATAGCAGCGTAGTGTCTGCCAGCTGATGTGCTATGCAACCTGCCAGCATGCAGAAAGTCTTCTGATCTCACCCTTCTGATCTCCCTAGCCACATAACTACTGGAGTACTGTGTCCAGTTTTGGGCCCCACACTACAAGAAGGATGTCGAAAAATTGGAAAGAGTCCAGCGGAGGGCAACAAAAATGATTAGGGGTCTGGGGCACATGATTTATGAGAAGATGCTGAGGGAACTGGGATTATTTAGTCTGCAGAAGAGAAGAATGTGGGGGGATTTGATAGCTGCTTTCAACTACCTGAAAGGGGGTTCCAAAGAGGATGGATCTAGACTGTTCTCAGTGGTAGCAGATGACAGAACAAGGAGTAATGGTCTCAAGTTGCAGTGGGGGAGGTTTAGATTGGATATTAGGAAAAACTTTTTCACTAGGAGGGTGGTGAAGCACTGGAATGGGTTACCTAGGGAGGTGGTGGAATCTCCATTCTTGGAGGTTTTTAAGGTCAGGCTTGACGAAGCCCTGTCTAGGATGATTTAGTTGGGGATTGTTCCTGCTTTGAGCAGGGGGTTGGACTAGATGACCTCCTGAGGTCCCTTCCAACCCTGATATTCCATGATTCTATGACTGTCCCTCAATAATAAGATAGGCAAAAACTGACATAGAAAAGTCAAGTGTTTTGCTGGGTTTATAGAGCAAGTAGGAGTCAGGATTAGAACTCTGGAGCCCCTGGATCCAGGTCCTGTAGTCCGGAGTCCATGCAGACTCTCATAATCCCCGGGTATCATCACTCGGTCAGTCCACAGGAGAATTTACAAAGGATCAAAAGGGTCTGTGAAAGCCTCATTTCAGTGATTCTGCCCACACCCTTCCAACGTTCAATATGGTATACTGGACACACGTGTGGCTTTTTCATACTGTAGTAAAATCAACCCATCTCAGAGGGGGGATGGCAATGGTGAACCTAAATATCCAAGGAGATGGGGAGACAGATATTTGGAAGAGTGTAACAGGCTGTACTTAGAAAAGCCAGTAATACTCATGGAGCTGGGCAGTGAGGAGCATGGCAGTTTTAAACACATTCTAATGCAGAACGTCCTTTAATGTGAAAGCGCTGTGCTCCTAAACTCCCATGGCCCATGCTGAAAGCTGACCTTGGGATGTCTACATCTGTTATAGGTGGGGCTGGTAGCACTGCCCAATATTAAATTTGCCTGATACTACCCCATTATAAGACTCTGGTTTCAGTTGCTTATAAAAAACTTTGCCAAATGTTAACCATTGGGGCGGAAGTTTTAATTGTTGCTTGTCCGCATCAGGCTGAATTTCTTTTGGAAAATTTCAGCCAAAATGGTTCAGCCATTCTGAGAATGAGGCTAGGGGGAAAATACATTTTGTTGAACATTTACTTTGAGAAGCTCTAGTGCCCCCATGCTTTGGAGCAAGGACTTGAAGTTTAGCAAAGGATGTGCCTTTTGGCATCCCTGGGAAAATCTGCCTAAATTTGGCCAAGGTATAAGCCATTTAAAAACTGCAGTTCACATGTGCTAAGTTGAAATTTGTTTCTGCTTTGCATATAAATTCCCTGAAGATTCTGTCTGCATTGGGCATGCTCCAGCCAGGGGGTGAGCAGGGCTTTCCCTGCAATTCTAGTTCTGGGCTGCTGTGGGCCAAGCATTCAACTTGAGAGCAGGGAACATGCCTTTCCTATACAGTCAGTGCCCCCTCTCCCCCGCTGAGCCCAGACAACATGGAGGAGGACGCTGCCTGCTTTGAACACAGAAGGAACAAGAGACAGACCTGCAAGGGAAGGAGCAGGGGGAGTAGACTGGGACCAGAGGCTGGCAGGGAGAGTTGGGAGTGGGGTTGGAGATTGAAACAGAAAACGAAGGAGAGAGAGAATGAGACTGGGAACCAGTGGGCTGGGATGGCAGACTGGAACTGGGAGCAGCTGGTCAAGGAGACTTGGAGTATCTATCAGTGTATCCCATGGGGAGGAGCCAGTTTGCAGGGGGAGAAATGGTATTGGCTGGGCAAAGACAAGGGACAAGAAACTGAGTGGATAACAGCACAGATTGGATGCGGAGCTCAGAGAGGGAGACTGGGACTGGAAGCAAGCAGGGATGGGGAATGTGGTCAGAAGAGGGGATGACTGGAGGCTGGGAAGAGACAAATTGGATGAGGAGCTGGTGGGGAGGGAAAAGTCCAAAGGGGTGAGACTAGGATTTACTGGGCAAGGAGACTGGCTTGGGGTGAGAAGCCTGAGGAGTGGAGACTGGGACTGGTGAGGGGATGGGGAGCAAGTGATGGGGAAGAGACAGTAGGACAAGGACAGGTTGGAGAGGACAAAAAAGGGCAGAAGAGTCTGTGCCCATTAGATCACTTCCCCCCAGCGCCTGGAATGGAACCTAGGATTCATGACTCATCATTCCTCTGCTGCCAGCAAATATCCGTGAACCCCCTTTAGTTCTGATCCACATAGAGGATGACAGCTACTACTATCGGTTACCCCATTAGTTCAAGTAGCAGAGGTGGTTGGTTTTTTTGTTTGTTTTATTTTTGATGGGGGCGAGTGTTATACAGGTCTCAAGGGTGTCCTGCATAGAACTGGAGTCTATCCCTGCATCTGTCAGAGTTTCTGTGTGATGCTAGTCAAGTCACTTACAACCAAACATTCCACAGGTGATCACTAATGGCATGTTCCTCATTTTCTGGGTGACCAGCTTGAGACCCTAGAGTCTGATTTGCAGAAGTGCTGAGCACTCACAGCTGCAATTGGCATCAATGGGAGCTGAGCTTTGAACACAGAAATGCTGTAAAATGCTAAGTACTCTGAAAAATCAGGTCCTAGGCATGAAATTGAGCATCCAAAAATAGTGGATACTTGGGACCTCAATCTCTGTGTACCTCAGTTCCTCATCTGTAAAATGGGGGTAGAACTCTTTAATTAACGTTTGTGAAGCACTCAGAAACTACTGTTATCAGCACCATAGAAAATGGTAAGTTAATAATTCGGTCTTCAGAGCAGGTTGAATAGTGTGCAGTAAATAAGGCCAGGGACCACACATTGTACAATGAGGAGAAAAAATACCGAAGAGCTCATCTTTGAGTGAGCACAACCCATCCTGTGCTCTGAATGAGGCCGGGGTCCTATCGATAAAGTAGTCCGTGGTCATGCAATTGAAGACTGTATCATAATGCATATGCACAAGGGGCCGAATTAACATGGCTCAAGCAACCCTAATTCTGGCATTTCCTAACTTTTCAGTGCTTCATTTTACAGCCTGAATAATGTTTTTTTAAGTACTTTTTGAGTGTGCAATAAAGAGCAGAGCCTGCAGGTTCTACGAACTACAAATCACACCATGGGACCACCTTAATTATAAAGGATTCAAGGCAGCAGAACTCAAAACCCCTTTCGCCCTGTTCGTATCAGGCAAAAAAAAAAAAAAAAAAAAAAAAGCGGGGTGGGGGGTAGGAGAGAGGGAGGGTAATAACATCAGCTAATCCCTCATTCAAAGTGTTTTCAAGGCAAGGCAAAAGGAACACTGCCTTTAGCATCCAGTTTCTGCAAGGAGCTTTCATCTTTTTCACTAGGAGGGTGATGAAGCACTGGAATGCGTTAACTAGGGAGGTGGTGGAATCTCCATCCTCAGAGGTTTTTAAGGCCCATCTTGTCAAAGCCCTGGCTGGGATGATTTAGTGGGTGTTGGTCCTGCTTTGAGCAGGGGATTGGACTAGATGACCTCCTGAGGTCTCATCCAACCCTAATCTTCTATGATTCTCTCTTGTTCATGCCCCATCCTGTTGCCTGCGTCTGGTGAAGGTAAAGACTGCAGGAGCTTTGTTACGCTTACCCAAGGTCAAACACTGCAGAGGTGTACAGCAGAGAAACCATGAACTGTGACTGGTTTGGCAGAGAGACCAGAAACGCTTCCTTTAGGTGCATCCTGACAGGCATTTGCTGCAAACCTGTATGTTTCCCTTTAAGGGAGCTGGACTGGTATGGCAGCTCATTCTGAAGTCATCTGTGTGGGTCTCCCTCCGTATATGGCCACAGGCGGAGGGTCTTTATGTTACCCAGCAGTCTCATGGTGCCTCGTGTATAGAGGGCACTGGGGCACTGCGCAGTTAAGGTCTGGCTGGAGGTGAACCCTGGCGATTTTCAGAGGGGCTGTGCTCAACCTGCTCCACACAGCGCAATCTAAACGGTACCTAGTTTGCATTGAGGACGTCCTGTTTCAAACAGGACTAAGTTAATGTGCTCTAGGTACCTTTTAGAGTGCACCAGCAGGATCTACACAGGGCAGCCAGAGCACAACACTTTAGAGCACTCTGCATTTTACATCCCTTCAGCCCGGGCATAGACTGCAAGGACCAGCTTTCACATAGCCCAGTACAACTGACGTGGGCTCCAGAGCCCAGGTTGCTTACTCAAAGGGTTAAGGATTTTCCCGCCCCCTGTTATGCCCCACTTGCCCCAAAGTTCACTGTGCTATTGATGGCGGAAGGGAGGATGAATCTAAAATGATGGCGAATTTTTGTTGAACAGAGCTTTGAAAGAGAAACGAAACGGTTCAGTAAAATGTATGTGGGTGGCAGGAAGCAAAAATTTCTACAGTGTCATTAAATTGCACCTTCTCCTTTCAATTTTAGTCTCTGATCCTAACAGAACAGCTGAAACAAGAGCGTCTATAATACAGCCTACATATCCAAAATAAAACCTTGTCATGAATCATCTTCCCATCAACACAGTTTAGAAAAACTGAAGACCCTTAATGAATACTTAATAGACAACAAATGCTGTGTATACTGCAAATCACATTTTGCTGGGAGTTCTATAGCATGGTTTGCATTGAAAAACTGAATTTATGGTTGGAATCTAGTTACTGTCTTTCTACAGCAAAACTAAGCGTGGATCAGAACTGAAAAATACCACCTTCTTTCAGTGCTTACCTTTAATAATCCCTTTGAGTGCATCAAGCACAAATGTAATCGATATAAAAAGTGCAATGATTTCTTCTGTTGATCTACAAAAAAAAAAAAAAAAAAGCTCCCATGGATTAATATGGTCAGAGTGACAAAGTCTGAATACCCACCAATATATTAATATACTTGTTATTTTATGAGGCAAGTGCACAGATTTTAGTTAAACACTGATTTGGGTGATAGAACTAGCAAGTCTTGAAAACCTCTTGCAAACAGAAGTACTAAAAACTGGAATGAGCACATGCTGTCCAAAGCCAAAACTATATATTTTCAGTGGAGAGTATTTTAGTTTTGTAACACAGATCTTGTTACATGACATTTAGTTTGCTGAAAGTGGGGGTCCAAATCTATAGTGTACCACCATTCTGAAGACTAATGGTCCCTGCAGACCCTGCTGATGCGTATTAACAGTTCATTAATGTGCTTTGATCTAGTCCTCTTTGAAACAGGACTAGATCAAAGCTCGTTAATGAACGGTTAATGCACATCAGCAAGGTCCACATGGAAAATCAGTCCATGGCAGAGTAGCTTGGGTTCAGTTCATACCCCAGCTTGCTGCAAACTAATTGTTCATGTAGACAAGCCCATAGATTTTATAGCAAGTTCACAATTAGGAATTTCTGGAACATAAGATTTTCTGTTTGCTGAATAATATAATCAAAATGGGACTTCCCTTGAATAAAAGGAAGAGGTACCTTTTAAAGAGCTTCATTACAAGACTGAAGTTAAAGAGAGAATACAGCACAAGAAAAAAACTGTTCCACAGTCCAATCCAGGCGTAGAAAGCACTAAAATCCAAGCTGTAGTCATCACAGATCCCCCGGATCACTGCAACAACAGTAAAACATTCGGTGGTGGATTCATGTTTTTAAGATTTTATAGCTAAACCATTCAGATTTATAGAGTTTAAGGTCACAAGGGACCATTAGATCACCAAGTCTGACCTGTATGTCACAGGCCATTAAATTTCATCCAGTTACCCTTGTACTGAGCCCAATAACTTGTATTTGGCTAAAGCACTAATTCGTTCAAATGCAATGAACGGGCAATAGTTTCGACTCCATCTGTCAACACTATGGACTGTTCCAAATCTAAAGGGAGGTTTAACGCCCTCAGGAAAGGAAGGGAAAGAGAGAGAGAGAGAGAGAGAGAGAGGTCCTGCATTACATATCTTGACCATTTGGCTGCTGTTGAATTTTCTAGGTACCGTGTAACCAAATCTTATACAGCACACCTGAACATCCGATTGGTTCTTGTTAATGAGCCCTGGTAGCTCAGCACAAGCAGAGGACCAGTCAAAACAGTATTAACATAATGTCAGTACCGATATTTAAAGAATGATATGGGGGGGGGGAGGGAGGGGAGGGAAAGACTGTTCAAATGTTTCTTTTGAAGGTAGCCAAGTAGTAAGTATCTCTCTAGTGGAGAGAGAAGCCACCAAACCACCCCACTGTAATTTGACTTATTGGACCTATAATGCAAATGCTGGTGGATCCAACTACCCTGTACCTTCAGCTAAAAAAAAAAAAAAAGAAAAAGAAAAAGGCTACTCTCACTGGTTAGCCATTGCTGAAAATCCACTCATCACACCGGATCAGGACTATATATTAAGGATGCATATTGCAGTCCCTGATCCTCAATGCCTACAAATATTTATTCCCAAGTGAGAACAAAAAACATCTCATGGAAATTCAATTTTATTCTCATAAAAAAAAACCTGTATACTTTTTTCCATTTAGAAATCTCACTGAAACAACACTCCCTAAATCCCTTTTGCAGGGCTGAAAGCAGGTCTGTAACGTTTAGCTTTGTGTAGCTGTAGGCCTAGGATAGATTTACTTAGTGCAGCTCTAAAGAATGCAAGGCTCTCAGCGTGTATCATCTCAGCGATTCTGAGTGCAGTATGTTCTCTTCCATCCGCAATATGCTTTGGTAAACTTACCATTGATGTACAAGGCTAAAGGAGCTGTGGTTAAGAGTACAACTAGAGGCTGCCCTGAAAACAGAGCATAAAGAAGTCCACCGATACACTGGCCAACAATTGTCTTCTGCACATCTAAAAATAATGAAAAAGTGTATTTTTTAAGACCACGTATTTACAAATGCACTTCCTACTAAGGGGCTGGCTACATTGCAATTGACTCAGGCAGGAGCCTGGGCTCTGGACCCCACGAGGAGGGAGGGTCCCACAGTCCAGGCTCCAGCCCGAGCCTGAAGGTCTAAACTACCATTAAACAGCCCCTAAGCCTGAGCCTCGTGAGACCGAATCAGCGTACACATGCCCTTAGTGATCAGCTAGATTATTATTGCACTAATGTAAACCACCCAAGTCATGAATGCTAACCACTAACAGCACATACTGAGAGCAAGACTATTCAAACAAGGGACTACCCACAGATAGCAGTTAATACACAAAGGGCACAATCATTACTAGGGAATTCAAATCGATGGTACATAACCAAACTTACATTAATAGTCTAAAGGGAGACTTGGTATCCCAGGCAACTGCCCTTTCACATGCAGAGCAGAGGGATTTTTTTTAAAGCAGTGGGTCTCAAACTTATTTGATTGCACCCCCCTTCTTTGTGTCTGTAATCGTTTGTGCCCCCCTTCCACACACACACACACACACACACACACACACACACACACGTATGTACATCCATTGCCGGCCAAGCAGAGCGGAGAGCTGTGGTTCCTGGCTGGGCGCACAGCTCGGAAGGCAGTGCCGCACCAGCAGCAGTAGCGCAAAAATAAGGGTGGCAAAGTGATATTTGTCAATATCACTTTTCACAGCAGACTTAGTGCCCCATTGCCAACCTCTCTGCTTCACTGCTGCTGCTGCCACCCCGAGGCTGACAGCTGGAGACCTGCCACTGCCTCCTGGTGAGGGATTGGGGGAGTGAAGGGGGAAGAGGGGAGGAGAGCCTGAACCCAGGTAGTAGGGTTCCGGCTCTCAGCCAAAGGCAACGGGGCTCTGGTTGTCCCCTTCATCCCTTCCCCCTGCCTCCCCGGTGTGCATGGCCCTTCTGCATGAGCCCCGGCCTCCTGGGGCTGACAGTCCGAGCCGCGCGGGGCTGACAGCTGGAGCGCTTAAAAAAAAAACAAAAAAAACCGCACAGCTTGCGCTTTCCTTGGCACGTTCCTGCACCTCCCTTGGGAGGCACACCCCATAGTTTGAGAACCACTGTTTTAAAGTGAAGCAAGGAGCAATTTTTCATACATAAGAAGTAGACAAAACAGGGCTGGATTCTCATCTACACTAAGCTGCTGTTGAATTACAAGCAAAGTGTCAAGGGACCTCAGTGCAAAGATGAATCAGGCCGACAGCGGGGCTAGGTTGGGTGATACTAGAAGAGTAAGCAAATGTCTTCCACCAGGCTAGTTATTTGTATTACAATAGCCACCCCAAGCCCCAGTCAGGAGCGGGGCTCCATTGTGTTAGGTGTTGTACAAACACATAGCAAGTGTGGACTTACAACCCTGTGCACGGGATTACCCTAAGGGCTAGTCTACACTTACCGGGTAGTTCGACGGCTGGCAATCGAAGTTCCGGGTTCGATTTATCGCGTCTGGTCTGGACGCGATAAATCGAACCAGGAAGTGCTCGCCGTCGACTGCGGTACTCCAGCTCAACGAGAGGAGTACCGCAGAGTCGACGGGGAGCCTGCCTGCCGCGTGTGGACCGCGTCTGAACCGCGGTAAGTTCGAAGTAAGGTATGTCGAATTCAGCTACGTTATTCACGTAGCTGAATTTGCGTACCTTACTTCGACTTGGGGGGTAAGTGTAGACCAAGCCTTAGTGTCATTGCAACACAGGTAGCACAGAACACAATAATATGTCTGTACTTGTCTATGCACCCAGGGATACCAGAAAAGTGTGTATATAGATACAGATTCGTTTTTCTAATCTATTAAGAGAAATAAGGTCGGAGCACAACTGTCCATATTGTTACTGGAAAAGAAGTCCTTACCGACGTCTCCTCCACCAGACCTTGCTTATTTCGTTATTTCCCCCATACAGACATAAAGCAACCCTGATTTACAGATAGAGATAGGATTTTAAACCAAAAAGAGTGGTAAGCTCACCAATAACTCCTCTTGTGTTTTCATCATTTAGGGAACCAAATGCAATGGATGGCAGGAGGCAGGCAAAATATAAAAAGATCATCGTTGTGATGTATTTTCCTATGGCCTTGTTATTCCCAATAATCCCTGAAACAAACCAAAAATAGCAGTATTAATAATCAATAGCACAGTTGATTCTATGGCATTAAAACATCACTCAAAGACAGTCATGCAGATCTTTAGTTATTGGTGACAATAATTTAAATGCTAAAACGAAAAACTGGAAATGTAGTCTGCATCCATTTAAAAGATACAATTCCTGATGGTGTTTATGCCCAGTTATAGTACAAAGGCAAGCTATGGCAGATAACCCATAAGTAGTGAACATAGGTATGAAAGAATGTTCAGTGTTTCAACCTGAAAACCTACCTTCATTAAGGAAAATTCCATTTCTGTTGAGGTGAGTTTCTTGTTTGTTATTTACAAACTATATTTGATTTTTCATTCTGTTCCCATTTAGAAATTATTTACAGATACTTCTTCGGGATCAAGGAAGGTGACTTAGGTGAAGGAAGCCGAACCAGTTGGGATAAAGTAACAACCAAACCTCAAGCCAAAGGTTTATTTGGAGGCTTGAATTTTAAAAAAAGGTAAATTATTTTTCATTTTAGCGCACCTCTACACTCCCATCTGGGACTCATTGTATTAATTTAGATGAATTATATGGCCCAAAGATATTAACATAAATCCAGTCACTATCCAACATTAAAAAGTGTTAAACACGGTTTGGGGGTTGGTATAGAGGCCCCCCTCAGCCTGCTTAGTACCTAAGCCAACGCACCATTAAAAATCCGTTTAACCTTCTTTTGTTTAAAAAAAAAAAAAAAGGGAAACCAGTTAAATGTAAATTATGGAGTACGACTTTTTATTTTACCAATACCCCTTTCCCTGGAGAGAGTCTTTACAGGGAAAAATCCCTTGTGTGACAGTCTCTTAGGTGGTATTAAAGATGGTAATAACTGTCCTGGTGGGGAAAAGAGAAGATGTTAGTTGAGATGGGCTGGAGCCGCTGTTGTAGATGCTATTGTTAAAGTCCAACCCCGTTTTATCTCTGCTGGTGTTCGGGATTCATCTGGAACTGATAGGGTTGGATCCATCTCTCTGGCTTGGTCTAGTCAGGACATCTCAGAATCAGGATGATGAAGGTCCAGGGTTCCCAGGAAATGGTGGGGTTGACAGCCATGATGGTGAAGCTTGCTTCAGTAGCCTCTGTCGGTTCTTCCTTACTTCGTCCCCCAAAAAATCTCTTTCAGGACCCGCCCATCACTGTCTTTTTGGAACACCCCATCTCCTCATCATTTTGTCCTCCAATTAGGCCCAATACCTGACACACCCATTTGGGTTCATTAATTTCTGGTTCCACGGCTTCTTGTTTTACCAGACATGATCTTAACACAGTCCTTGAAATATATCACCATGGACTTTTTTGTTTGGACTAATTTAGTCTCTTGGTCTGGTTTTCTTGCACTTGTTGATAACATTCAATATTGAAAACAACTTGACCTATTTTTCCATCAACATTTGTTGTTATAGATTATTGTAACATTTTGTCAACTTTCACATACTTTTTACTGTCGAGCTTACAATTAGGGCAACTTTATCAAAACAGACCAGAATCAGAAGTGCCAAAATGCCACCCGATAGGCTGTTCTAGCAGACAGACATTCTAGCATCATCAGAAACAGGAAATACTGGAAATCTCAAGAGAAAACATGTTTTTGTTAGACCTGCAGCCTAATTTTCCAGACCCAAGAAGTTTGGACAGTTTGGATGAGGATCAAAGCAGCAGCCACATGTTAGGGGTTCTTAACTAAAAATCAAGCATATGAACATTTTGTGATTTGTCCTTTGTTAGTTTCAACATGCTAATCAATTATCTTCTCAGCTCATAGTGCTTTTGATAGGAACAATAACCACCAGGAACTACATTGTCCCAGACAGAAATCTGATAATGCTATAGGCTTGAATCATTAGCACACAGGGGAAAAAACAGTTTATTTGATTTGATAATTTTACAAAAACAAGTGATACAATACAAGAATGCCTATGTTAAGGTTATATGCAGTGTTGTTTTTGCTGTGTTGGTCCCAAGATATTAAAGAGACGAGGTGGATGGAGGTAATATCTTATATTGGACCAACTGAATGAACTCTCACACAAAAAAAAGACAAGACAAAAACACTATATCACTTGTGGGCGAACACTTTTCACAAAGCAATCACTTGGTATCTGACCTCTCCGTCCTTGTCCTCAAAGGAAACCTTCAAAAGAAAAAGCCTGGGAGTTTAAATTCATAACTTTGCTAGACACTAAAAATCAGGGTCTTAAAAAATAAATACACTCGATTTTTGGCTTATTACAACAATCGGTAACCCACTAAACCCCCCTTTTTTGTCTTATGACTGCAGGGGTGTTAATGGGTCACTTCACCTTGAATGGTTCCTTAGATTAGAATGTGTGTTAGCTACTTATGCCAGACAATCTGCGCCACCTTGTATTTAGTTGCGTCACTCTGTATACCTATCCCAGACCTGAACAAGAGCTCTTTGTAACTCAGAAGCTTGTCTCTCTCACCAACAGCAGTTGGTCCAATAAAAGATATTACTTCGCCCACCTTGTGTCTCAAAGGGCATATCTATACTACAGCCTACGTCGGCAAAATTTTCGTCGCTCAGAGGTGTGAATATTCCACCCCCAAGCGACATAAATTACACCAACGTAAGAGCTCCTGCGCACAGCGCTATGTCGGTGGGAGAGCTTGTCTCATCGGCATAGGGGGTCTTCAGCTGTCTGTATAGACATGGCCTAATATCCTGGAACCAATACAGCTACAGCAACACTGCAAATTCACTGAGCTGCTGTGTCTTTCTCTATGTACAAATATACCATGTGTAAAATTAGCATTTTTAACTTCAAATATTTATCACAATGACATTTTTCTTTTAAGTCAATGTCTGATGAGAGATCGAACAGACTTATTTGCAGCCCAGAAACTGACCCAGTCCACTTCATCTGAAAAAAATGCAGGATGCATCATGACAGTATATCATTTGGAACAGCCTAATAAAACGAGTGGAAAAACAAGCCACCTTCCTCTGACTGGGCAGTGTACAATCGGCTTGCAGTCCAGCTGTGAGATTTGAGTGCTTGACTGTTAGAGAAGCTGTGACTTAAAACGGAGGTACAGCTACAAATTCAAACTGCCAGTGACCAGGCTTATTTGCACGACAGCTCTATTTTTTTGTGCTCTATCATTTCCAACATATTCAATTATCTGTGTTCAGGTTAAAAAAAAAAAATTGCTATCTGACTTTAAAAAAAAACCAAAAACACCATACAGCATCTTCTGGAAAATGCACAGATTAGAGTATTGTTGGCCTCAAATTACTTTAATATTCATGTTTAGAACATAATTGATAAAAAGGCTCAGTTGGAGGCTGACACACTTAGACCTATTAATTTTACATTTATTGAATAAACTTGAGACATTCAAGGAGATGTGGGAGTATAGCTATTAGTAAAGCACGTGTTCCTTTCCCATTGTATTAGCTATTGAATAAAATCAGCTGAAAAGTTCAATTACACTGATGTGCTTCACAGACAAAGCCACATCTTTTAAACCCAAGGCAAACAAAGTATCAGTCATGTTTAAATTATAAAAAATGCTTGGCAGATGATACCCTCTGAGTCATTCCTAAAGAAGGGCAACATATACACACTTCATGCTGCAGTGCCACATTAGAGAGATTTTTGAACTGTATTATGAATTGTTAGGTTAGATCTGGCTTTCTGATCTACCTCTCAGATCCATCCCAATTAAGAATAACATAATTTCATTGTAATTTGCGGGAAGAGTGAAAGCAAGAAGTGAAAGGAAGAAGAGAGTCTGCTTTGTATTCTTGAAGAGCACAGATGGCCAGAATGAAGAATTTCTTTTTCCTTAGAGGAAGACTGCTTATGAGAACACGTTCTTTAAGCTGGAGCGCTCTATATTCAACCGATTCTTTCTATGGCAAAGGGAAAATACACTCAGGTTCAGGAAACCGAATTTGAGAAAAACAAACAGAATGCTCAGGGGGATTCTACCAACTTAATATCTTGTATTTCTTTCGGCTATTTATTATTTCCTGCAGACTTCTGTCCACTTAGGAGGATGTATATTCACACACATCCATATTATTTTAATAGGCTTCACTTTCAACAAGAGGGGCCCGAGCTATGCATGGAAATGCCGAGAGTCTGTACAATTTGGCACTTGAACATGGCCAGAGATGGGGCTTTAGGAAGGCAAAAGCCATCAAGCACTTCAAGCAAGAGAGCAAAACAGACCGATCAGGAGAGTGGCCACCTAGTTAAGTGCACGGGAGTATTTACCAAAGGGGAGCTGCAGGCTCAAACTGCACTTGCAGGCTTAGATGATGCAGTGGTCAATGAAGGCACTTTGCATGTTTGCAAAACATGCCCTTTTCCAACAAGTCAGATTAATTATAGCACTTAAACTAAGCTTTTTACCTTTAAAAGTTCTTTATAAACATCTTGATCCTGCTGAGTATTACTGTACCTCACTATAGCCCTAATCCTGCAAAACACAAACACATGCCTCATTCGGCTCACGTCTGTAGTCCTTCAGTAGGACTGTTCACTTGAGCAAAGTTACATGCGTGCTTAAGTGCTGTGCAGGATCGAGGGCAATCCTACTGATTTCAACAACAAAACTTGCATGGTGAGGTCATAACATAAGAACGGCCAGACTGGGTCAGACCAATGGTCCATCTAGCCCAGTGTCCTGTCTTCCGACATTGGCCAATGTCAGGTGATTCAGAGGGAATGAACAGAACAGGTAATCATCAAGTGATCCATCCCCTATTGCCCATTCCCAGGTCCTACTCAACATGAGTAAGGTGGAAGAATAGGGTCGACAATAATTCATCTCAAATCCCGTGAGACAGGGAAACTGAAGCAATGAGAAGCTAATTGATCATCACAAGGACATAGAGGGTCAGTGTTATTGCTGAGAACAAAATTCGGGAACACCAGTATCTTACTTCAGTGCACTGACTTTCATTTAGCTGATCATCATTGTACATCTTTAAAAATTGTTTCAAAGTTCTCTCTTTGAATTGCACTGGTCGAAAAAAATAAACCACAAAAAAGCCATTATACATTAAAAAAAAAAACATACTGAAGGAATGGAAAAACATTTAAGAATGCAGAGAATGTGTAAATCTTATATATGATCAAGAGAAAACAACAGCAACAGGGTTTTTTTTGGGGGGGGGGGGAACGTAGGCAGTTTTTCCAAAATCTGTATGATTTCATCAGGAATTTAAGCTAAAATCTTCAGAATTTTTTAGGGACAAGTTCAGCAATGGGAAAGCCTGTATTTGGCCCTATCACTTAATTATTTTTGTACATGATACTGGTAAGTCACAAGGAGAGTTACTCAAATATATCAATAAAGTTATTAAAAGATAACTGCTGCTGGATCAAAGTTTATAGAAACCAAGCAAAATTCCACGAGCCACACTGCAAGAACTCAACAGTTCATAGCTCACCATTCATTTCATTTTACTCCCAGTTTTAACGGACAGTTATAAGTGTCACACTTGAATTATGCAAATGACTGGATCAAACCCAAGTGCTTCAGACAAGACAGACAATCTCTATACAAATCATACACACCCCTAGAATCCTGCTGTGACTTCCTGGTTCCATTGACGTCAAAGGTGCTAGGATTTCACCCCTAGTCTTTCTGCCACAAAAACACAAGCCTCTTATGAACTAAAGCATTCTTCTTTAGCTAGATCCCTTATCTTCACTGTGAGGACAAAGACACTAGGACAGCAAAATCCCCCCCTTCCCCCACACAGTTATGACATTCCAAAGACAATTTAATGGCTGGTCTTGTTGGTCTGTTCATACATTGCTACTGTGCCTTCTGCTCAGACTGCACTCTCTACTTCCTCAATAAAAACAATGCCTTCTCTGTAACGTGAACCTCTGATGAGGCATGCGTGGCTGTTTCTTAGTTTGGCTCATTCAAATACCCCATTTGCAGTACCATGCCGCTTTGAGATGATCCAGAAACTTCATGGTCTTGTTCTCCTTCCAGCCTGGTGCTTTGTGGAAGATGCTCACTGTTTCTCATCTATTTTTCATCCCATGTATGCTTAAAGAATTACACCACTGCCCTCTTGATTGCTGCAAGAATTTCAGCCCCTCCACATATATTCTGTACGGACTGCACCATTCAAGTTATTTCATAAATGCTAAGTATATTGATGGTGCAGTGCTGAGAATCATTGAACAGAGTTTCAGCTGTGACCACTGCTCATACAAAACTTCTATGCTTATTTGAGCTAGTGATGCACAAGCTATTTCACAAACACAAAACAAGGGAAGGTCCTTGCCTAAACTCATCTAACGCATACTTACTCCTCTTTCACTGTGTTCCTGCTCTTCACCAATTTTTAGCACCAACTACAAAAATATACTACAGTCTTTATTTACAGTAGAGCTCACCAAAAACCACAGTTCCATTGAAATCAAAATGCTTTTGCAAAATTGTGTCATTTTGGTGAACTTTTGTTTTGGAGAAAAACTCAGGAAAAAAAAAATCTGACAATATAGAAAATCGGAACAAAATGTTTGATTTTTTTTTAAAATGGCTTTACATTTCAATTTTTTTAAATTTTGTAGAATAAAAAATAAAAAAGTCAAAATCAAAACAAAGTGTTATGATTAATTAAAAAAAAATTTAAAAATTTTCTTCACGGAAATTCAAAGTTTTCAGATTTCATTCCAATTTTGAAATCCTTCACAAAATGGAATTTCCTCACTCTGCCTAGCTCTCAGACATTTGTATAGCACTCCCTGTTGTAGTCTCTGTGCCACTCACAAAAAGATTACACACACACACACACACACACACACACGCATCACCTCTTGAAGGCTCAGCTCTATTTCATTTTATTAGGCCAGTTCTTCACAGTGATAGGGACTAGTAATAGATTCCTTCAGTGCTGGGTGCCATTGTTATATGGCTGCTTTGGGGAAAAGTTCACTTAAGAGGTGTGATGTGCAGCATGGTCTGCAGGGGAGATATTTGGGCTCAGTTTGATCTGCTGCCAAAGTTGGTTCCATCCTAGGAATTTTTCCACTGGAAACTCTCCCTTCTGCCCAACACAAAAGAAACGTGGGATCTGTCGGCTGACATCACAGAGCAGCGTAGCACAGTTCGGAGGAGAGAGAGATGGTTCTGGGAAAACAGGGTTCAGAGCCCAGTCAACGTTCTTAATGTGACAACAAGGATCTTGAATTGGATTCTGAATTCAATTTTCAGTAAATGTAGAGCGGAGAGCCTTGGGATGATGGGTCTCTGCCTGCAAACATCTGTGCGCTACCCCAATGCAGCTACAGGGTGGCCCTTGAGTCATCCCAGGTAGTGTGAGCAGCTATACTCTAGTCCTAAGGTGACAAAGGCATGGATCATTGTAGTAAGCGACACACTGCATAGTACTCCTCCAGCACTTTCCACCCAAGGCACTCCGCATGCTTTACAAATGCTAATTTATCCTCACAATACCGTGTGAGGAACCAGGCATGGAGAGATGGAGTGACTTGCCCACGGTCACACAGCAAGTCACAGGTAGAGCTGGGGTCATAACTCTGATAAATTATCTCCCCGTCCACCAGACAGACACAAAAATGCATATGCAAAGAAATGATTTTTATTTTAGCTGCACTAGGACACTTGAGCGCCACTTCTGAAAATAATTTTCTCTGCACATCTTTGCCCACAATTGGCTCATACGATACACTCTGAAAAAATCGAGCGCTAAGGGTTTGATGCAAGTGGGGACAATCTAGGAAAGACTGAAACTCTGTCTTTTCACCACCTTGTAAACATTTAGCTGCTGCCGAACAGTTATGGTAGTCACAGAGGGCCTGGAGACACCTTCAGCACTCAGGCACAACTGGGTATGGAGCACATGGAGGATAAAGGAAACTAGACCCATTTCACTCAGCCCAGCAGAATGGCAGTGCAGAAGGCAAAAAGTTCCTTGCCCTCAGCGTTGGGAGCTAACAGGAGGGCTGGGGGCTGACCGCCCTGCCTCTAGGTGACTTTTCAAGCATACTACAAAATGGACAAAAGAAGGGTCATGACACCAATGTTCATATGGGGCTGAAGAGCGAGCCCCCACTGCCTGGCTCCCCACTCTGGGTGTTGTGACCTGGCACATGGGAGCGCCGTGACCCAGACTCTGTGTTCCACGTTGCAATGCCACCGACTCACGTTTGGGCTGGCTGCCCCTTCGTCATGATTGGCTAGGCCAAACCTGAATGGTGCTACGACCCCATGCGCCAGGTCGCAATGCCCAGAGTGGGGAGCTGGGCCCTGCCCTGTGGGACAGGAGCAGCTGCTGCTGGGGGAGCGTGGAGCAGACTTGCTCTCCCAGCCCGTCACTAACGACCCATCGGCCCTGTGGTTGCAAAAATCTGGCTCCACCAGTTTGCGCCATTCACAAACTGCAAAATATATTTGAAACATTAATTTTTCAATCGCCAATCAGCTTTTGTGAACCTCCTGCTGGCAGAAAGCCAAAGCTTCCTGTGGGGCAGCAAACTTTGGGACACTGGCTCTATGGGAATATAAGGAAGTCTCCATCCTGTTCTAACAGGACACATTATTTGGCACCTTTCATTGTAACATGTGGAGCTGTTTGACTTAAATGAACCCCAAAATCAATTTACGTAATAAATTAAAACTTCCGTTACTCCTAGATCTCAAAACCAGCGAACAGAATATAAAAACTGCTGTTGGTCGGAGGCTTTGTATGCCAAGGTTCTGTCCTGAGACAGTTTTTACAACAGTTGCAGACTCCCAAAAATGCGTGTTTTTTCATAGATTTCAAGATTAGAAGGAACCATTGTTTAGTCTGCCCCCCTCTGTATAAAACAGGCCAAAGAACTTCCCCAAAATAATTCCTAAAGCAGATCCTTTAGAAAAACATCCAATCTTGGCTGAAAAACTGTCAGTGATGGAGAATCCACCATGAATTGTTCCAGTGGTTAATTACTCTGTTAAAAACGTACAGCTTATGTGCCGTCTGAATTGGTTTAGCTGCAGCTTCTAGCCATTGGATCGCGTTGTGTGTTTCACTGCTACATTATTAAATATTTGTTCCCCATGTAGGTATTCAGATTGTAGCCAAGTCACCCCTTAATCTATTTAGCTTAACAGAGAGAAGGTGGAGCTCTTTGAGTCTATCACTATAAGGCAGGTTTCCAATCCTTTAATCAGTCTCGTGGCTCTTCTCTGAACCCTCTCCAATGTATCAACATCCTTCTTGAACTGTGGACGCCAGAACCAGACATAGTATTCCGACAGTGGTCACACTAGTGCCAATTATACTGGATACAACTGCATGACCATTTACAAATTATGATTGACGCTACTATAATAATAAAACCAGGTAGTTAAACCCTAGTATAATAACTAGTTTGGCTTATAGCCCTATGCTTCTCTGTATTGCTTATGAACCTTAATGAGACCACATTGTTTGTAAAAGACATCCTGCTGAAACTCCCATAACTTCAATTTGTAACAGCGCTCAACACCCACATCATCTCTGGATAGACGATGGCTGGCTTACACAGACAGCAGCAGAAGGGGAGTGTACTGTACCAATTAAAACTGATTAGTTTATGATCAATTTTGATTCATGTTCCTTTGCAGATACCAACAATAAATCAGTGTAATCATCAACATACAATTTAATGGGGAATTAATTTAGCTCAAAACAAACATCTTCATTAAGAAGAGAACGTTACAAATTTCTCAAGTCCTTAAATCATGTCAGTTCAGAAATTATTTATAGGTTTCTATCCCGATTTTCTTTTAAACAAAAAGGGCCAATAGAGATATCAAAGAACATATTCAATTCACATTGTAAACAGGACATCATATCACAAGAATTAAAAGCAGGCCAGTGCTTCTATAAACATTGGCCAACCTACCGTCAGTGAAGTCCAAAGCGTACACTGGAAATCTTCGTGCTATGTCATCAAATATTCCCTTGCCAACATTGAAAAACTCATGCAACTAAAAGAAAGGAAGGAAATGTTGTGTCAGTTTAAAGGCTCGTGTATTGTTAAAAAGATTAACCTCCTTATTCAGTGCTGATAGGCACTTAAAACTAATTGTTTTGAATGGGCCATTCAGATCCAGACTTTGTAATAATAAAAAAAATAAACAGTTAGCACGTCTATAGCAATTTACATAGTCCAAAGCACTGTAACCCTTCCGTGAGACACAATTATTTTCATAGAGAGTCCTGTGGCACCTTATAGACTAAGGCCTGGTCTACACTGGGGGTGGGTGGGTGGGGAGGGAATCGATCTAAGATACGCAACTTCAGCTACGAGAATAGCGTAGCTGAAGTCAATGTATCTAAATCGACTTACTTCGCATCCTCGCGGCGCGGGATCAACCGCTGCCGCTCCCCCGTCGACTCTACTTCCGCCTCTCACCCTGGTGGAGTTCCGGAGTCGACGGGGAGCGCGTTCGGGGATCGATATATCGCGTCTAGAGGAGACGCGATACATCGATCCCCGATAGATCGATCACTACCCGCCGATCCGGCGGGTAGTGTAGACATACCCTAACAGACCTATTGGAGCATAAGCTTTCGTGGGTGAATACCCACTTCGTCGGATGCACCCACGAAAGCTTATGCTCCAATACGTCTGTTAGTCTATAAGGTGCCACAGGACTCTTTGTCGCTTTTTACAGATCCAGACTAACACGACTACCCCTCTGATACTTGACAATTATTTTCATCCCAATTCACAGACGGGGAAATTGATTCTGAAGGCTGCTGTGGTAATAGGGAGGCTCTGATGGAGCCATGTTACCTAGGGTTACCATACGTCTGGATTTTCCCGGACATGTCCGGCTTTTTGGGCTCCAAATCCCCGTCCGGGGGGAAGTCCCAAAAAGCCGGACATGTCCGGGAAAATCGGGACATGCAGGGCCGGCGGTGCTGGGCCGGAGGCCGGTGGTGCCGAGCTGGGGGCCGGGCCGGGGACCGGGCCGGCGGTGCCGAGCCGGGGGCCGGGCCGGCGGTGCGGTGCCGAGCCGGGGGCGCCGAGCCGGGGACCGGGGGGTGCTGAGCCGGGGGCCGGGCCGGGGACCGGCAGTGCTGGCCGGGCCGGGGGTGCTCGGCTGGGGGCTGGCCCGGGGCCGGCACCCCAGAGCCCGAGCCGACCCAGGCTGGAGACGCCGGGGGGGCCAGACTGGGCCACGCCTCCTCCCCCCACACCCCCCTTACCTGCTTCAGGCTTCCCGCGAATCAAATGTTCGCGGGAAGCAGGGGAGGGGGTGGAGTTGGGGCGGGGACTTTGGGGAAGGGGCGGAGTTGGGGGCGGGGGCATGGGCGGGGCTGGGGGCAGGGCCGGGGCCCCGTGGAGTGTCCTCCTTTTGGAGGCTCAAAATATGGTAACCCTAATGTTACCGAGGTGAGGGGAAAGAAAGAGACGGAGTTTAGGTGCGTAGCCCAGGGGCCACAGCCAATGCCGAGTAAGGCACAAGCCTCCAAACGGACAACCTAGCCTCATGTAGATCAAAGGATTTTACAGGTTTGGGGTGGGCCCTGCAGCCTTTTCCATACAAACTCCTACCCAAAAGGGGTGACGTGGCGAGTCTCCAAAAGAAGGGACTGGGGGATTTCCTCCCACAAAGTCCACTTCCCTAGGTTTCCATCCAACTAGATGATCCAGGCCAGTAAATCTGAAGGACCCAAATTATTTTTGCATCAGATAAACTGCTTCCGATAACACCTGACTTTGCCAACCCCAAAAGTTCAAAAATCATTAGCGCACCCACCCCCCCATCATAAGACTGATTTATTTATTCTTTTAAATCTCATGGTTTTTAAAAAAATAAATGTTAGGCTCTTTTTATTTGCTTCTGGTATTTTTAGGATGCAATAGCTTTGCGCTATCAGGCTTTTTCCTGCAACCACGGGGCTAGAAGCCTCCTTTGTTTTAAAAAATGAGAATCTCTTGCAGCCTTCTAATTCCAGCAGCTGGAGCTTTAAGAAAAACACCGAACATTGAGAGAATCACGATAAAATTGAGAGTGGGCAATATTATTACAGTAAGCAACTTGTTAGAGTTGAATACATCTCTGCGGTTTTTAAAAAACAGCCTCCACACTTCTGCACTTTTGTAAAGAGCCAGCAGAACGTAATATATTTGGCTCCTTGAACCATGAAATGAGAAATTTGATTCAGTTCCTTTCAAAAACCTAAATCTAACAATTAAAGTACTTCATTTCTCTTGCTAGCCTTGCCAACACAGAGCATAAAACACCACACAATAGTTCAGGTGCAAAGTCTTTAAACCCTGCTGTTATTTCGAACTCTAACGGCTACAAGGGTCTTATTTGAAAAGAGCCAACAGTATGTTTGTTGCAATACTGCACACAGAAAATACGGTCCCTGCCCACATTGCTTAAATGAGTCTAAATGAGAGACTCAATACAATTTGGAGACATAACATACACGAATTAACCAGACAGCGGCTCCATCTCAAAAAGGTGCAGATTTATCCGCTTTCCCCTTTGGTTGACTATTCATCTTTGAAAGGCTGGGTGGAACACTAAAAATCAGTGACATGAATTTAACTCAGTATAAAATGTTCACCCGGGATTGGTTTCCACGTGGCATTGACTTGACTGCAAACAACGGAACTCCACACCCATTTCACATGGAATGGAATCACTTATTTAGTGGAAAGAGATCACAGCTGAGCTGAAAACTGGGACTTTTCCCAATCAGGTATAATCTAAAGGGCCCCCACAAGCTCAGTTTCTGTGTATTCTTCATTACTTTTCCCATTGGCCTTCAGCTACTTGGTCAACTGCCTGTTTCTCTTGGCATGGTGCTGGCACATCTGTATGTGTCCACAGGACTTTATTTTAAGCCTTCTTTTAAAGATCTCTTGCTTGTTTGTGTTGGAGATTTGAACTCTAGCACCTTGTTTGTGGTCTAAACAACTAGGGAAATACGAACTGAAAAACCCCAAACCGTCTGACAGAAACATTTGAGCATGTTGTAAAAGGTTAATATTTTTAGAAGTAAACAATCCCAAAGGCACAGGTCAGACGGAGAATCACAATTGCTTTAATGAGTAGTATGTTTACTCATCTTGCCGTAGCAAGCACAGGAAAACAACCATCAGAACCATCTCCCTTAGGGGAGAAAGAGAAAATGACTGCATCCATGTGCTTGGTTGGCACAAGCTGCTAACTCAGTGCCTGCCCCGGCAGCCTTCATGCACATGAATGGAGGTTGATCTGGGTGCTAGTGGTGGCGGCAGCATAGAAGGAACAAATTAAAAGGAAAAAAATTACGCATGCAGTGAATTAAGGGAAAATTTGGAAGAAATGAGCAGAAACACCATATTTGTGAGCCTTGCTCCCCTCTCCATATTACTTGAATGAAGAGCATTATCACTGGGCTATTTGGTGGGCTAAAATGTCATAGTGGACAATGGAACACACAACAGCTGCCCAAAGGAAATGAAACGATTACTTTTAAAAAGTTTATCGGGGAAGCTAAAATTTTGGTTTTCGTTGGGTTTTAATTAACTGTGTATCGGTCAAGTTTAGGACAGGATTTGTTCAAAGCAGTTGGCTTCAGCCATCAGCTTCTATTGTTGCTGATGATCTTCCCTCTACAGGGGTGGCAGCGTATGTATGGTTCTCTAGGAGTCTCTCTCTCTCTCTCACACACCCCTCCCCCCCCCCCCCCACACACACCCCCTTAGTGAGAAGAAAAGCCCAGCCTACTTACATGCCTATAAGTTTTGGGCTGGTCATAATCCCGCTTTCCTGCTTGTTCATCAAGGCTCTTGATCCCCTTCTTCACCATAACCATCTTGAGATCTCTGTTTGGCTAAAATTATACTTCTAACTTCAAATCAGCTTCTTGCTTCCCTTCTGGTCTCTAATACCCTCATAACAGCAGTACCAGTGATCTCACATGGATGGCCAAGAAGGAGAATAGATAGAAGCCATCACTCCCTAAACAGTGACTTCCAAATTCCCCTGGGTCCTCACCTCTTTTACCTGCACCCTTCTCATTATCCTCTCAGTTGCCTGAAGTTTCCTTCCCCCTCACCAAATAAACATGAATTGGGCTATCTCATTATTAAAAAAAGTCATCCCCCTCCAATTATTGCCCCTTCCCCCCTTTATCTCCAAGCTCATCGAGCACAATCTGTAACTGCTGCCCCTTTAATTCCATTCTAGACCCTCTTCAATCTGGTTTCTCCATTTTACCCTTGGCTCTCACCGAGGTCTCCGATGACCTCTTCCTGGTCAAGGCTCAAGGCGGACACTCCATTTAGACACCATCGCCACACACACTGTCTAACTCCAGTTATTCCTTTTGTGATTGTGACTCCGTCCTTCTCCTATCTCTAGGATTGCTCCTTCAGGGATTAATTAATCCTTCACGGATTAGCCCTGGTAAGTGGCTTTGATTTTGGGAACTACTGAAACGAGCTGTTGGGGGCAGGAGGGTTGCAGAAAGCAAGCTTGTGTCTGTATGATGCGCGTAGCACTATGTGCTAGTCTGAGCATCGGAACAGGGTATTGATTGACTCCCTCACTTCACGGGAATCTGCCTCAGAGATCTCCAGGAAACTCTCATGGAGATACTGGGTAATCCGCTGCTACAGGTTCTTTGGCAGAGTTGCTTTGTTTCTTGCCCCATTAAGGGTAACTTTCCTGCGCCACTCTGCCATGACGGCGGGGGGGGGGGGGGCATTGCTACACACAGGCGAGCCGCATAAGGGCCAGGGTGGAAGCCGCAGTCTTGGAGAAGACCCTCCCTTGATTCCCTGCTCGCCCTCAGCAGCGAGATATCTTCCATAATGAACACAGCCTGTGGAAAAATATGGGGACAGGAATGATTATAAACCCCCCTCCCCCCCAATGCTGCCTCTCTCCAAGAGCCACATGCCCAGTGTACAGTACGGTCCTGGAACACTGATTTCCCCTGCCCCTGGGGTTACTCACCATTTTGGGGGTCTTGTGGCTCATATGTGCTTGCCTGGGGTCAGCCAGTTAGTGACAGGTATGTGAATAGTGGCTGTATTTTAAATCAGTGGTCTCTGATTTATTGCAACCAATACTGCTTCTGTAAAACGTTGCATTTTGGCTTCACAGATATGACCTTGGGAGCCCAGCGTCCCTCTACGTTAACGCCGGCTGAACGGCTGCGCAGAATTAGAAAGCAACCATGAAGAACTAAAGAGGACTTTCTGCATGATGTCATGATGCACTCTACAGCCAGAAATCAAGAACTGAAGGAGTGGCAGGACAGCAAGAAGAGGGACCGAAAGGAGAATGCGGCACACCAGAACGAAGCCACGGAGCGGCTCTTAAACATTATGGAGCTCCAAGCAGACACGCTCCAGGTGCTACCAGCACTGCAAACTGAGCAGCTCTGCGCCCGCCCTCCCCTGCAGCCACTGTCGCAAAACTCTTTCCCATGCACCCCCCAGACACCTCCAACACACTGTTATCAGCGTCCTGGCTTTAGTCTCTACCCGCGGCATTCCACTCCTCCCTGCTCACAGTCCAGCACTGCAGACTCCCAGTACCCATTGCACTCAACACCCGGCCATCTGCAATTTAGCCCTGCTGAAGTACAGTACCCGCTGCATTGTACTCCAAAGGAGAAGGACATACACATCTTTAACAGTCCTGGGACCCTCCCTTCCCCCTCAGTGCGGTTTTTTTGTTTGTCTCTCTCCTCCGGTGGTTGTTTTTTTAATAAAAGAATTGTTTTGGTTTGAAAGAAATCTTTATTCCATTAATTGAAAGCAAACAGAACCCTGAAAAGCAACAGGCAATTTTCTTACACCTTCATAGTGCATCGTCTGCACCAATCACAATCACCTCCTAGCATTACAAGCATTGCACTTCCGAGCATAGCAACAAATTTTAGTAGCTTTCAGCTTCAAATTTTTGCCTCAAGGCATCTCTGATCCTTATGGCCCCACGCTGGTCTCTGGCTGTTCAAACTCAGCCTCCAGGCACTGAGCCTCAGCAGTCCAGCCCCGAGTGAAGCTTCACCCTTCCCTTTACAAATATTATGGAGTATACAGCACGCGGCTATGAGCATAGGAATACTGTTATCAGCCAGGTCCAGCCTCCCAGATAGGCAGTGCCAGTGGGCCTTTAAACAGCCCAAAGCACAGTCAACAGTCATTCTGCACTGGTTCAGCCTGTTGTTGAACCGCTCCTTGCTGCTGTCAAGGTGCCCCGTGTATGGCTTCATAAGCCATGGCATTAAGGGGTAGGCAGGGTGTCCCAGGATCACAATGGGCATTTTGACTTCCCCTACGGTGATCTTCTGGACCGGGAAGAAAGTCCCTGCTTGCAGCTTCCTGAACAGGCCAGTGTTCCGAAAGATGCGTGCGTCATGCACCTTTCTGGACCAGCCTGCGTTAATATCTGTGAAAAGCCCACGGTGATCCACAAGCACCTGGAGAAACATTGAGAAATACCCCTTCCAATTAATGTAGTCAGTGGCTAGGTGGCCTGGTGCCAGAATTGGAATATGTGTGCCATCTATCGCCTTTCCACAGTTAGGAAAGCCCATTTGTGCAAAGCCATCCACAATGTCACACATGTTGCCCAGAGTCACGGTCTTTCAGAGCAGGATGCGATTAATGGCCCGGCACACTTCTGTCAACACGAGTCCAACGGTCGACTTTTCCACTCCAAACTGGTTAGCGACCGATCGGTAGCAGTCTGGAATAGCCAGCTTCCACAGAGCAATCGCCAAGCGCTTCTCCAATGACAGGGCAGCTCTCATTCTCGTGTCCTTGCGTCGCAGGGCTGGGGCGAGCTCATCACACAGTGCCATGAACGTGGCTTTCCTCATCCGAAAGTTCTACAGCCACTGCTCTTCATCCTAGACGTGCACCACGATGTGATCCCACCACTCAGTGCTTGTTTCCTGAGCCCAAAAGCGGCGTTCCACTGTGGTCAGGACCTCCATGAATGCCACAAGCAATCTCTTGTCATAGTTACTGCACTTGGCGAGATCAATGTTCAACTGCTCTTGCCTTTGTAGTTTAAGGAATAACTCCACTGCCACTCGTGATGTGTTAGTGAGAGTGAGCAGCATGTCGGTCAACAGTGCGGGATCCATTCCTGCAGCCCAGAGAGGCAGAGCACGCAGTACACAAACCGTTGAAAGATGGCACCAAATGCAGACAGAAGCACAGGGATTGCTGGGATGCGAAGCAATGCATTACGGGGCATTGGGATAGGACCCAGGATGCCCCGCAACCCCCGCCGCCTTCCCACAACTCTTAGCCGCAAAAGAGGAAGCGATGCTCTGTGGGATAGCTGCCCAGAATGCACCGCTCCAAATACTGCTGCAAGTGCCAGAAGTGTGAACACGCTATAGCGCAGGCAACTGACAGTATGAACACAAAACAGCGGTTTCCCTTCAGCGCTCTCTGAGTGGTGCTGTAACTGCTGGGGCTGTAACTCTGCCAGCGTAGACATACTGCTGGTCTCGTTAAACTTTTCACCCAGAGGCTGTGGTTTCCTACTGTGACATGCCCCAGTGTTTACAGAAATGGCTTCAGAGGAAAGGGATCAAAGGGTTAAACCTGCACTGGAAGAAAACATTGCTGCAAATCACTTGTAACCAGCTTAAAGAAGTGTTTTAAACTGGTTCTGCAAACCTGAACCCCAGGGTGAATGGGGTTTAGATGAGCTCAGAGGTCACCTACTACAGACTTGTCTCTGGAAGAAGGGATTCTGTGCTTAAAATACAGAGGACTGGGCTCAAGGTAAGAAAGGGCAGGCAGGCTGCCCTTTCTGCTCTTTACTTAGTCCTAAACCATTGTGTTTTAAACTCTGAAAACTCGCTAAAACATGGATTTGTGATGAAAGTCTCCACTCTGAACACTGTAGGCTGTTCAAAGCTTCACATTACTTGTAGTCTAGGGAAAAGAGTAGGAGATTAGAAGTGGCATGCACCAATTTATTTTTTAGACGTGCAGCTTTTCAGCTTGGATAATAAAACCTGTGTGTGAACAGACAGGGTGCAAGGATGACATTAAGGGAGCTCCAGAAGAGCAAGCGGAGACGCAGCATGCTTGCTAAGAGAAGCCGCTTTTCCAAGGGATTTTAGTCTGCAGGGGAGCCAAGAAACCCTCAGATCAAAGTTGGTACAAGTGATGACCACCCGAGTAAAGATTAAGGTTCTTCAGAGACAGACTTGCTATCGTCCCGATTGAGAGTGCTAAAGTACATTTGCCTCTCTTTGGCAACTTACAATAACCCATCCATCTAGCCCGCATTAAGCATGATCATATGTAGGGTTTTCCTTTAATTTTCAGTGGGAAGTTGTTACATGAAGATATATATATATATATATATGTGTGTGTGTGTGTGTGTGTGTGTGTGTGTGTGTGTGTGTGTGTGTCTATATACACACACACACACACACACACACACACACACACGATTCATTGCATTTATCAGGTATTAAAAAGGCACAATAGTGCTTTTTACCGTTTTCACTGTTGCAAAAGAGATTCAGTTAAACGGCATAAGAAACCAGAACATTTTAGCAGAACTAGCCTGGCGGTGACACGAAGGGTGTGTCTACACAGCTGCTGGGAGCGAGTTTAGCGGGACTTCCGGTAGTGTGCTAAAAACAGCAATTTGGACATTCCTACCCAGGCTGGAGCTCAGGCTCTGAAGCCTAAGGAGTAGGGTGGGCTTCAGAGCCCAAGCCCGATCGTCAAACCAACGTCTACACAGCTATTTTTAGCGCACTAGCCCAAGCTCTGATAGCGTGCGTCAGTCAACCTGGGCTGTGGGATTCGCTCCCAGCAGCTGTGTAGACCTAACCCAGTTGTCTGTTTTGAGGACTGAGATGCATAAGCTCATTAATATATAACTAGGGCTAATTCAAGCCTATGAATAATCACCAGGTTCCTGCGCTTTATTTAAACAGAAACAACAGTGGAAAGCCAGGACTTAGACTTTTTCTCGCCCTACCTTGAGCGGCTTGTGGCTGTGTGTTTTGTGCCCCTCGTTCACTGCTGAGGGTCTCTGATTCACCACCGTCAGCAGGTGGCGCTGATGTACCAAGGCTTCTTTAAACTCTTCTTCGGTTTTTGTTTCTAGAAGCTTCTGCCGAAAAGTTATATCTGAAAACATCGTGGCGAAGGTCCGGCCCACTTCGGTGGCAGTTTTCGTACTTTTCTGAGGAAAACAAATGCAGATTAGGGATCATAACAAAAAACTCTTAAATTATTTAAAAACTGTAAAACTTCAAAACAAAATAAATACCACCCAAAACACCAATCTTCCTTCACCTGCCTGTCAAGACCAGAACATAAGATTCCACACTTCCCCTGAAATCACTGCTAGCACAAACACCCAAATCAGGGCAGGAAGAGCAAGTAAATGCTTCCAGCCTGGCTTTGGTGCTGAGAGACCATTTCTTACAGGGGAATATGGAAAGGTGAACTGGTTTGTGCATTGCAATCTCAAGCACAACATTACGTTAATATACATTTTAGCATTGGGAGACTGATCCAAAGTCCATTGTGATGTTAGGTATGTGTCATTTGTAGGTTCGTCTCAATGAATTGCTGTAGAACTTTAGATTCAAAGACAAGACATAGGTTTTGAAAGTTACATCCAGAAGGTTAAAGACTACCGTGACCAATTCTCGTAGGAAACATTAGATTAAGGTGATTTCTGAAGTATATTCCACAGATATTTCGGGGGGGGGGGGGGGGGGAAGAGAGGAAACACCCTAGGATTACTTCACAATACTTCAACCCCCTCTATCCTTCATGTGCTGAACGCCCCCTACTATCCAATTTCCTCCTGAAGAGCTCCAAAGTCTCACAGGAACAGTATCGTTTGGCTATAACACAAACATAGTCATTGCTTTTATATTTTCATTTCATGGTGAATTTTGATAGTCATTTAGATAAGTGAGATTGGCAGGTGATTTTTTAATTAACATTGGCAAAGCATTCAGGGCTCTTCTGGTGCACCACTCAGGAGCACAGATGTAGAATACTTTAGATTGTAAGCACTGCACAACGTCTTCATTTTAATCCTACAGACAGAGTTTGTGTCCCAACTATCAAAAAGACCCTGCACATTGCTTGAGATCACCTGAGACCGTATCGCTAGCACTTTGTAGATTTAAACATCTAGAGACAGCAGATGGTTTGTTCTAGGTTGAGCGCTCCATTGGTCTGCAAGTCTGCTACATCGACAGAAGGGAGTTAAGACTTATTGTAAACTCCGTGAGGCCGGGCTCTTTACTTCATGACTGTACTGCACAATGGGCTCCGGATGGGGCTAGTGTAATACACAACAGAACAAACACGACCAACACTACTAGTCAGGCTTTTGCGGCATGGGTGGGAATCGGCGGGGAGGCGAGAGAGAGCTGTATGAATAAGGAAATCGATTCGGGGCAAGGCAAGGGAGTCAGAACTAATCAGTTTTTTCATCCTCACCATCATCATGGAAAGACTGGGGTGTGAATTTTATGCTATTTCCCAGACAATTTCTCAAGGCGATTTAATTCGATATTGTCAATGAGTTTATTATTTTAGCAACTGTACCCAGCATGTACGTAGGGCTTGGTAGATAAATTCATTTAAAAAACAAAACAAAAATCATAGACTAGCACATGGCTTTTCTTTACCCGTCACACTGCTACTGTTCCCATTCCCTTTCCTTTATTTGTACGCTGTCCACTTGTACCGTGTGCTCCTTGGGAGTCATCTTCATATATGTCGCGGAGTGCCCAGCACCCCCTAGCCACCAGCATCACTCTGCACCACAGCCATGGGGTACCGAGGTCAGTACTGACTCTGAGGGAAGAGGGCCCCCTACTGAGTCACTGACACTGCTCCCTGCAGCAGCTGGGTTTCCCTTAGCACGTTGCTGACTCTATATGAATACACAGTTTGTATACATTGAAAAAGGAAATCAATACAGCTGAGTGGCTCAGTTTGTTTGCTGCATTCCATGGGCGACATCTGTATGTTTGTTTTTAGTCTGTACAGTTTTCAGACACCAATGTGATTGGCGCCAAAAGCATTTTTATATAAAAAATGAAAAAAAAATTAAGGCAGAAACAGCTGAATCAGTCTGGACATAAATGCTCAAAAAAAACCCAGCTCTCTTTCTATGACCCTCAGCTGAGCGCCTCACAATTTTTAATGCATTTCTCCTCACACACCCCTGCGAAATAGGGAAACACTATTATCCCCATTTTTACAGAAGGGGAACTGAGGCAAAGATATTAAGGCCCAGATTTTTAAAGATATTTTGGCATTGCCACGCCTAGCATTGCAGCGCCTAACTGATTTAGGTATCCAAGTCTCATTTTCAAATGGGGATTTTGCCTCCTAAGTGCCTAAATCCTTTTGGGGAAAAAAAGAGTCTCAGGCTTCCAAATCAGTTAGGCATTGTAATGCTGAGCTCAGCAACACCTTTTAAAACCTGGACCTAAGTGACTTGCCCAAGATCAGGGAGTCTGCAGTGGACCAGAGAGTTGAACCTAGGTTTCTCAAGTCCCAGGCCAGTGCGTTAAGTACTGAACCATCCTCCCTTCTCCAAAAAGCCATCTCTACCCTGCGGACAGACCTAGTATGGCTAGAGTGGGGCTAAACAACTTGAAGTGGGAGAAAGGTGCAGATTTCTAGTTTAACCAGCAGGGGGTATCTCAGTTCCCAAGTTGGTTCATGCCCCCACAAGTGCATCACTTCAGAACCTTAGCTCCGCTGGCCCAACAATTGGGATCCTCAAGTAGAACTTGAGCTCAGATCTCCCGTATGACAGTGCATTTGTTGCCTGATCTATTGATTGCATATTAATTATATTGATGACCTAAGAATTCCCAGTTAACACACTGAGGTTTGGTAGGTCTTTGTCCCAAGATCAGGGCCAGTATTATTAAAATTACCGTTCAGTTGGGAACCCCAACATGCACGGTTGCAACACTCAGACTTGGGAAAAACCTTCTGTATCTGCAACAGGCTTATTAACACAGTTAGCAAAGTTACACACACTCCAACCCAACTAGGTAGAGAGAGCTCATACCGAATGAGTGTCTGTGCACCCATACACTCAGGCTACCCTTGCAGAACAACCTGAAGCGTTAGTCATTAACTTCCTCCTAGGATTAAGAACAAGAATTTTTGTTATAAACTGGGGACTCATCAGCTGGAAGTAACAGAGGAGGAGAAGGACCTCGGAGTATTGGTTGATCACAGGATGACTATGAGCCACCAATGTGATATGGCCGTGAAAAAAGCTAATGTGGTCTTGGGATGCATCAGGCGAGGTATTTCCAGTAGAGATAGGGAGATGTTAGTACCGTTATACAAGGCACTGGCGAGACCTCATCTGGAATACTGTGTGCAGTTCTGGTCTCCCATGTTTAAGAAGGATGAATTCAAACTGGAACAGCTACAGAGATGGGCTACTAGGATGATCCGAGGAATGGAAAACCTGTCTTATGAAAAGAGACTCAAAGAGCTTGGCTTGTTTAGCCTAACCAAAAGAAGGCTGAAGGGAGATATGATTGCTCTCTATAAATATATTAGAGGGATAAATACCAGAGAGGGAGAGGAATTATTTAAGTTCAGTACCAATGTGGACACAAGAACAAATGGATATAAACTGGCCATCAGGAAGTTTAGACTTGAAATTAGATGAAGGTTTCTAACCATCGGAGGAGTGAAGTTCTGGAACAGTCTTCCAAGGGGAGCAGTGGAGGCAAAAGACATATCTTGCTTCAAGACTAAGCTTGATAAGTTTATGGAGGGGATGGTCTGATGGCATAGCCTAATTTTGGCAATTAATTGGTCTTTGACTATTAGCAGTAAATATGCCGGATGGCTTGTGATGGGACACTAGATAGGGTGGGATCTGAGTTACTACAGAGAATTCTTTCCTGGGTGTCTGGCTGGTGAGTCTTGCCCACATGCTCAGGGTTTAGCTGATCGCCATATTTGGGGTCGGGAAGGAATTTTCCTCCAGGGCAGACTGGCAGAGGCCCTGGGGGTTTTTGCCTTCCTCTGCAGCGTGGGGCACGGGGCATTTGCTGGAGGATTCTCTGCACGTTGAAGTCTTTAAACCACGATGTGAGGACTTCAATAGCTCAGACATAGGTCAGGGGTTTATTACAGGAGCGGGTGGGTGAGATTCTGTGGCCTGCGTTGTGCAGGAGGTCAGACTAGACGATCATGATGGTCCCTTATGACCTTAAAGTCTATGACTATCACCACCTTCCTCATCACCACCGCTCATCATCCTGGCATCTCCCAAGGCACACAGGCCTGGATACCACTTTTATAATGTGTTATGCAGACGCCCCTATGCCTAAAGCATGTTCAGGAGGGGTTTCCTCCCCTTCTCCTTATTTGTATCTCGTCACCCTCCTAAGCTTGGCGTGCCCTTCTCCCATAGGTTAAGAGAGCTTTTACCTCACACTTATTAGCGTGTACGTCAATTAGTTACCATGGCACACTGGTTGTCAGACATCAGCGGCGGTTACCACCCTAAAATATACCATCTTGGGCTAAACTAGCATCTTGTGGTTACCTGTCTGCGGGTTAGTCATTACAGCGTTCTATGTTGTGATCTAGGGCAGTGATACCGAGGCGCGAGAGCTGCAAGTGCCTCTTTAATGTGTCTCCTGTCGCTCTTTGCAGCCCATGATATTAAAACACTGTATGATTCAATTATTAACCAGTCTAAGTTATTAACCAATCAGGATGCTTTTACTAGGTTACTGACCAATTATTAACTTGTTAACTTATTTGCTGTGAGAATAATATAGACTTCCCGTCATACTGTTTAAATACGAATCTATAATACTATAGTAAATAAAACAAAGAATTCACAAGACTGTGGCTCTTTTGGGTAATGTTGATCACTAATTTGGCTCCAGAACCACTGAGGTCTGAGTATCACCAATCTAGGGTTACTTCTGGTTAGCTACTTATGCTAAGGCTTTTGAGCCTTAGGCCTTGTTTAGCTAAGCTATTGTCTTACAGGCCTTGCAGGCTCATTACATTACTGCCTTCACTTATACCCATGCTTTACCTAGCAAATAGCCTATTGGTATAGGCTACGCATTGAGGCAAGAGCTATGATACGCGATCAGTCATAGTCAGACTTACAGACTATGCCAGGCTCCGGCTCCAATGCTAGATAGGAAGCCATTCTGCTCTATAATGAGACTGCAGGAGCCTGGGGAACCGGAAAGTCATTTGTCATAATTTTATACCTTGTGCTCGCTGCTGAGTCAGAAGGAGATGTTGGCAGACAACCACTGCGGTGACCTCAGTCCTGCTCTCTTCCTGCTGCATCTAGAAAATGGGTGGTCATGCACCCCGGTAAAGCTCCACAAGAGAACGATCAGAAAAGCATTCTGAGGCATCAAGAGTGAATGATGGAGAAACACTCACCATTTTAGGAGGCGCAAGAACCAAGATGACAAATCTCACTTCACAGGAGTTCTCCCCCCAGTTCTGAGGCCTCTCCAGGCGGCTGATGCAAACATGACGTCGCTGAAGAGACTTTATAGTGCAACTGTCAAGCGAGATGGAAATATTATGGCTTAGGTTAGACAATACACGAGACACTCTCCCTCCTGCCAAATGAAGGTTTTAAATATTCCCGTTCTAGCTAGGATACAATATGCATGGGTGAAAACAGGTGGCTTAAACATTGTTGTTTGTAAAAAGACAAAAATGACATTTTAATGGCAGTGATTTTCCTTCCTTTCTAGGCCTCAATCCTGCGAGCTGCTCAGTGGGAAAGGCACTCTGTGACAGCAGGGCCCTGCTCACGGAGTAGCTGGCAAGGTTGGGGCCTTACTTTGCTTCATCCTGTCCCAGCTGCTATAGAATAGCCAGTAAATCAATAAGGAAACTTGCCCTACATTTTCAGTATTGCACAGAGTTCTAGCTAGAGGGCTCCCCCTTTATTTTTAAAAAAGAATAATGAACAGATAGTACTTTGCACTTCCATAGATCCATTCATCCAGAGGTCTCAAAGTGCCGTTGCAAACAATTTAAGGATAAAAGCCAATAAATAAATTGCTTCTCTCTCTCTCCCCCCCTTATTCCTTCTTTAGCAGATTCCTCTATTTGTTTTTGTTTTCAAGAGGGTTTCCCCTCCCTGCTTGGTTGGTTTGGATTATTTTTAAATACATTACAAATATCAGGTCCTGACCTCCCTCTTTTTGCTGGACAAGTCAGACAGCCTTCAGAGGACCAAAATGGTGACGTCATTGCTCAGTGACGAAACTTGAGTTGGAAATCTCCCAGGTCCATTAGAGAGAGGAAAGTTGAAGAATTAAGCAGTCATTTAGATCTTTCAAAGATTGACAAGACTTCCAATAAAGAGAAGCCAGAACCTGAAATTTCTAATGTTAAAAACAAAACATTTTTTATTAAAACATGGAAGCCATTTGTGGGCATCACAAAAGAGCAGTAGTTTCTCTTTGCTGTTTACTTCAACTACCACAACACCGCTGGCAAGGTGGGTAGCCATAATTCTCACAATTTTACCAGGGGGGAAACTGAGGCAAAGCAAGGTGACTTGTCCAACATCACACACCAAGTCTATGCCAGACATCGGATAACACCATCACACTACCAATAAAACCACAGCTAATTATTCTGCTAATACACGTTACAGCTCTTTAGAAACACAGTGGCAGATAATGCATGATAATTTCACTATTGGTGTGAATAGCACACAACCGTGATACTCCATCCTAATTGCAGTGCTTGATTTTGCAACATGAGAGTTTACGTTATTTTTAATGTAATAAATATCAGCAAGATTATGTTACTGTTATCATTATTAACATACAAAAGCCAAAAGGAGAACACTTCAATCTTCCTGGACATTCTATAACAGATTTAAAAGTAGCCATACTCCGGGCCGGCGCTTCCATTTAGGTGACCGAGGCGGTCGCCTAGGGCGGCAGGATTTGGGAGGCGGCAATTCTGCGGCGGGGGGGTCCTTCCGCGCTCCGGGACCTGCCGCCAAAGTGCCCCGAAGACCGGGAGCGTGGAAGGACCCCCCGCCGCAGAATTGCCGCCGAAGACCGGGAGCGCGGAAGGACCCCCGCCTAGGGAGGCAAAAACCCTGGCGCTGCTCCTGGCCATACTTAAACAAAAAAACTTCAGAAACAGACCTCAAAGAGAAACTGCAGAACTAAAATTCATTTGCAAATTTAACACCATTAATAGGGACTGGGAGTGGCTGGCTCATTACAGAAGCAACTTTTCCTCTCCTGGAATTGACAGCTCCTCATCAATTATTAGGAGTGAACCACATCCACCCTGACTGTATTCATAGAATATCAGGGTTGGAAGGGACCTCAGGAGGTCATCTAGTCCAACTCCCTGCTCAAAGCAGGGCCAATCCCCAACTAAATCATCCCAGCCAGGGCTTTGTCAAGCCTGACCTTAAAAACCTCTAAGGAAGGAGATTCCACCACCTCCTTAGGTAACCCATTCCAGTGCTGGTAACCCATTCCAGTATTGGCCCTGTCAACACTGGTTCTCCACTTGTGAGGTAACTTCCTTCTCTTCATGTGTCAGTATAATAATGCCTGCATCTGTAATTTTCACTCCATGCATCTGAAGAAGTGGATTTTTTACCCACGAAAGCTTATGCCCAAATAAATCTGTTAGTCTTTAAAGTGCCACCGGACTCCTTGTTGTTTTTGTTATTATCATTGCTTTTTTCCAGGTGAATATTTGCCAAATTAACTATTAGCAATTAAAGGATGTGGACAGGGCTTCAGTACTTTGGGCCAGTCTCGCTTTTCCTTTCTCTTAACATAGTTTATCACCTTAATTAGCAGCTTAAATGACATGCCAATAGCAACGACTTGGAGAGAAGGGGATGTGCAGACCAGAGCTGAATTAATAATTCTTCCATACAGGCCTGAATAGTTAGCTTCGTAAGTGTATCCATATGAGGCATTTTACTAGTGAATAGGTTTTTGATGGACAGTGATAATTAAGTTACTTGATTTATGCAAGTTAACAACCTGACAGGCTATTGTTAGACATGCTCATTTTGATGCAAGGGATGGTTACATTCCTTTTATTTGTACAATACAGAATATATGGAAGGGTGCAGGATTTCACATATTTATACTGTATTAGTTACATTCCCTTTATTCCCCTTTTTACGTGAATCAGACTCATAACAGAAAATACACACATCCCCTCGGGATAGAAATAAACCTATTCAAAGTTCAGTGCATGCATCCATACACTTTTCAATCTGTTTATATGCAGTCTTTTCTTGAGTGGCAATTATTTGAAGGTTACAGTTACTAAAGGACACATTTGGTAACAATCTACTATAAACCTTTACAACAGGGACCAAATGAAAACAGAGTTAAAACTGAATTCCACAATTTGCAGCAAACTGAAATCAATCTTAATCTAGAGTCACTGAGGTGGGTGAGCCTCAATGTACCCAAATCATCTTGTGTTGTCAATTGTGGGTTCCAATTCAGCAAGATAGCTGGGGTAAGCACAGGGACTTTCTAGAGCTTTGGGACTGACAGGATATCTGTCAAGTTGTCCAACATCTTAGGTCATCTTACTTTCACCCATATTAATTGGTAAAGCCTCATGCATGAACGGAGAGGTGAACAGTTAATGCACGGTTAGCAAAATCTACCCTCTTGTATTCTGCTCAGTTTGCTCACTGAGTCAACACTTTCATTCCTTAGCCTTTGAGCTCAGTGATTAACGCAGTTCTTTAAAAAGGAAGACTCGCCTGGAGTTCTGAAAGTTATTATTTGTATTCCGGCAGTGGCCAAAGGCCTCAGTCAGGATCCTGGCCAAATTGTGCAAAGTGCTGAACAAACTCTTAAGAAGACGCTATCTCTGTTCCAAGTTGCCTACAGTACAATGCCCTGATCTTACATTAAGGCATGCTTGGGGCTCTACGCAGGTGCATATGCTTCTCAATGCAAGATCAGAGCCTAATTTGAAACATGATACTACATTTGTGTATTCCAATCTACAGGAGGCTATATGTCGGAGAAAGATGATTAACAATAGTAAGATCATGCAGCTACTCGGACAACAACGTACAGAGCTTGATGGCTCCAAGTCTTCTGAAAGTTTTAATTTTCTTCAGGCAAAACACACAGCAATCTTCCACTGCCACTCAACCTAACCATCATTAGCTGAATAAATTATTGTAGGCATTGACTGCAGGCAAAATACTTGCATTCAACGTCTTCCTTATATATATATATATATATATATATATATATATATATTTTGTGACAGACCCAGACCAGTGGGGTACAGGAGTCTGGTAGAGGGCAAATATACTGGTCACTGGATGAGTAGTTTTCTGTTCCCTGAGTGACCGGAGCAGGGGCTGCACTAGAGTAATCAGGAACCTGCTAGAACCAGTTAAGGCAGGCAGGCTAATTAGGACACCTGGAGCCAATTAAGAAGAAGCTTCTAGAATCAATTAAGGCAGGCTAATCAGGGCACCTGGGTTTTAAAAAGGAGCTCACTTCAGTTTGTGGTGCGAGTGTGAGGAGCTGGGAGCAAGAGGCGCAAGGAGCTGAGAGCGAGAGGGTGTGCTGCTGGAGGACTGAGGAGCACAAGCGTTATCAGACACCAGGAGGAAGGTCCTGTGGTGAGAATAAGGAAGGTGTTTGGAGGAGGCCATGGGGAAGTAGCCCAGGGAGTTGTAGCTGTCATGCAGCTGTTACAGGAGGCACTAGACAGCTGCAGTCCACAGGGCCCTGGGCTGGAACCCGGAGTAGAGGGCGGGCCCGGGTTCCCCCCAAACCTCCCAATTGACCTGGACTGTGGGTTCTTCCAGAGGGGAGGGTCTCTGGGCTGTTCCCCAACCCACATGATGAATCTCTGAGGCAAGAAAATCCGCCAATAAGCGCAGGACCCACCAAGATAGAGGAGGAACTTTGTCACACTATATATATATATATATATATATATATATATACACACACACACACATATATACACACACACACTTGCAGCTCTCTCACTTTTCAGTATGAAGCTTACAAGTTTGATGTGTACACAAAATTTCAGTGGTCACCATCAAAAAGTCAACATATATCAAGAGTAAACACATTATGGTAGACTTAGAACAGGAAACAATTATGGTATATACTGGGGTGGGGTAACTGTTGACTTTGTCTAAATGGTGACCATTATATGGATGTAATATGGTTAGAAGAAGAGGTCATGCCTACTGAGTCAGGCACTGGGATTAACAGTAGATACTGGTTAGCTTCTCTTTGCAAAATAGCCTTCAGTAACATAGAAGTTTCTTCCTGCCAGGACACCATTGTGGATACCAGGCCAACAAGCCAGTGAATTGATGAAAGAGCTGAAGTGGTTGATGGAAAAAGATGGAATAAAAGCAAGGAGATGATATGAACCAAAAAGAAAATCTCACATTAAACATGAGCCACGACACTGGAATGACACTCAGACTGACATCAACAATTCCCCTCGTGGGACTGTCAGTGAAAAACTATACAATGCCCAGCAATGAAA